AAAATTCCCAAATACCAAACTAATCTTTACAGATGCTGCCAAAACTAAAACGGGACAAGCCACTGCTGTTGTTGGAGATGGAATTAAAAAATCCAACAAAATCCCCCAATACTGCAGTATATTTACCGGAGAAATGATCGCAATCCTAGAAGCCATAAAGATATGCTCCAACTCAGAAGGTAAATTCTTGATTATAAGCGATTCATTAAGCACCTTACTGGGAATCAAACAAGTGTACCCACAACATCCAATTCTTCAAACCATAAAGGAAGAAATGCAAAAGAATCAGTTCAATAAAATAAAATTTCTCTGGGTTCCCTCACATGTTGGCATCGAAGGTAACGAAGAAGCTGATCGTTTGGCAGCAGCAACAGCAAAAGAAAACGAAACACCTTCAATTAAAAAAATTCCACACAAAGACCAAATCACCCTAATAAAAAAATTTGTAAATGGAAAATGGCAAGAACTTTGGGCAACAAATAACAGCAAGCTAAAAGCAGTTAAAACACAAATCGGACAAGAATTATCAACTCCTCCAGGTCGAAAAAACCAAATAGTAGCAAATCGCCTAAGAATCGGTCATACTGCCATCACGCATAGCTTCATCTTCAAAAACGAACCTATCAGCCTTTGCGAAGAATGTAACACTGCCCTAAGCGTATCCCATATAATTTTAGATTGTCCGAAATATAATAGAAAAAGATCACTGCACCACATCCCCGATAGTTTGGAGATGGCTTTGGGCACGCAAATTGAAAAAACCCTGGACTTCCTAAGATCGATAAATATATTTAATAAAATCTAATAAATCTATGTTTGTATATGTATACTGCTAATAACCCTTGGAGGTTGATGCAGTCCCAATTTGTAAATAAAAAAAAAATTACCAAAGAAATACGCACAAATAATATTTATGAAATATTTTTGACACTTCTCCACCAAACATGAAAGCCATCTAAATTATAAATAAAACTAACAATATCGCTACTAAACGGGCATTACAAAAATTAATATATATTTTAAAGAAATAAAAATAACAAAACAAGACTAACTGGACTGAAAAGATGAAGGTTGGGACTACATTTCCTGAAAGTTTCAGATTTTTATTTTTTCTTCAACATAATAATTTCTGAGTGCAAAATTGACTAATTTTAAGAATTATAAAGTTTCAATAATTTTTTTAATAAAAAAAATGATAGTCTAGAAACTTAAAATAATAGTTACGTTTTCTATTGTATAAGTACTTGATACCTGAAAAAAACAACTTTTTCTACTCCTATTACGGAATTTGACCCTTCTAATATCACTTTTATCTATGGAATGACATATATCCCGGAAAGTGTTACAGAATGAAATATTCTATCATCTGATGACAGAATAAACTCGTGGCGACATCTCTGTTTTTAATATCTAACAAATTTTAGACCGATTCAACCTCACTTTCTTCCAATTAAATTATTTTTCTATGGTTTTTTTGGAAACCTAGAAAAAGTATAGTCTGGAACACGTTTGGAATTGCATATTCCGCTCTCGTGAAACCGTCAAACTTGCCTTCGGCTCGTGTGACAAACTCTTCACTCGAGCGGAATAATATTATGCTGTATTCCAAACTTGTTACATAATATACTATTCTAGATTTAGTAGAATAGGCACAGGAGCCAGACAAAAATCTCAAAAATTATCATGAATCCTTTAGTGGTTTACCATTCTTTTATAAGATTAACTAATTGGATAATAATAATTTAAATCGAAAACACTTACTGAACAGTAAAACAAAATTAAAATCATTTCAATATTTGTCACAGAAAAAAAGTTCTGGCCCACTATAAGAGAGTAAGAAATTGACACGATTTTAGATTTCTAAAGGGGCCGATTAAAAGTAATGAATCCAAAAATTTAAAAGGCAACGTATTTTCATATTTGATACCTCAATTTTTTTTTTATCAAAATACAAAATCAAGCAGCGCACATCATTTGGTGTTTTTATTTGGAATGACTCTATGGTGAAATTCCTAAATTGCATTTTTTCATAAGATGAAGCATTCATTCCTAATAAAGACAGTGTTAGTACATTCTGTACATTAGACCTAATCTATATATTACGACTTAAAAGAATATATATATTCTTATATATATATATATATAGTTTCGACTTTTACTTGATGAAACTACGTGTTGATAATATCAACATGGAGTTTTATAAAGAAAAATAATGTTAATATAAACTACACTGTTTAAAAGTTTCACTGTTTCAAAACAGTGAAACTTTTAAACAATATAATTAAACCTATGATTTTTAAGTTTAAAAACTCAATGTTTACGCTCTCATATCTTTTTAAATAATGAAGGTAACTTTTTTAACAATTTTCCGGGATTCCTGGGAGTCTGTACATCATCATGCAATTGGTTAGTTTTAGTTTATGTACACTTTGGCTACCTTTGTAGCATCAATGTATACATCTACTAGTAAGTAAGTAAGTTAATGCTTTTGAATTCATTAACATATAGATAGCGTTTATCGAAAAGGAACCAAGCGCCAAAAACTTTTTCTGGGGTAAACAAAATTATTTCAAATAACTCATTTTTAATGCTGCTCAAAAAATTAATAATAATTTGTTAACCTTCTCCATCCTTTTGAAAAAAATTCCAAATGCTGAATAACCTTTTGAGCATTATAAAATATGAGTTATTTTACCAGAAAAAGTTTTAGCCACTTTCCTTTTCAATATGCGTTATCCATATTAAAATCAGTTAATGTATACATTAGCTAGTCAGTGTATACATTTAAGAAATTTACACATTGACTGTAACATATACAAATAACTTCCTAAAATAAGAGGGCGCTGGTATTTCGTTTATTGTTAGGTTTGCATCATAGAGAAAGTAAGATAGTTGTCAAATGATTTGTTGTATCAAGTAGTGTTTAAACCGCCGCCATACATAACTGGATAAACTTAATCTAAGGCAAGTGGCTTAAGTATCTAGTTTTGCTTACATCCTTTCTCTATGGTTAACATCATAAATAATATGTGACTGTATGTTACCTGTATAATGAACAAAAGATTTTAAATATAAGTGAGTTAATTAAAATGGACAGTGTCAAAATAATATACAAAATTAAAAATAATTTAATTAGTACGAATGTAGAATTAACAAGAAACTGTGATATCCACAAATATTTTACAAGAAACGACTCACAATACCATTTAAAAAATATGTCTACAAGAACTGGAATAAGAAGAGTAACCCACACTGCCTTAAAATGGTTTAATGATCTTCCAGAACATATAAAAACACAGCACACTCTGAAAGCTTTCTCTTCATTTGTTAAACAGTATTATATTAATAAAAGAACATGATCATATTATTTACACACTATTTTTGTATTATATATTTTATACTTGTTTTATATTCTGTTAATACAAAAAACATAAGCAAAAATAAATTCAAATTAATACATATTATAAACGTTAAAATGGAAAAACCAGGGTTCTATAAATACAGATGTATTGCCCCAAATTGTACAAATATTTATTATTTACCAATTTACAAAAATGGCTACAAAAATAATTTTTTTTTTTTTTAATTTTTCAACAATGAAGTCATACAAAACACCCTACAAAAAATGTTATGACGAGAACGATTTTTGTGGAGAATCTAGTGACAAATACTTTAATTTAGTTTGTTTACATTAAATAAGTTGTTAATATAAATCATAAAGCACATTCATTTTGGTTTTATTTATTTCCTTGGATTCAAAAATTGGTATTACTTTTTTAATGTAATATTGATTTTTGAATCGGAGTGTAACTTACACATTAAATTCATATTTTATAGTTAGCTAAGGGTCCATACCTATGTGAGGTTATGTTACCATTAGTTTACCCAGTTATGTATGGTGGCGCTTTAAACACTACTTATTACAACAATGCATTTTACTACTCTCTTTTACTTTCTCTATGGTTTGTACCAAAACAGCACCAAAATAATAGACGTCATCGACAATCAGCATCGCTGGTGGTAAAAAAAGAAAACCTAATTTGAGTCGTCAGTAGTTTCAAAAGCGGGCATCCCCAAATTTTTTTTTAAATGAGTTATTAACACCAATAAAATCGAAATATTACGTAGTATATTAGTGCAAAATTATATCCCAACAAAAACGGCTATTTCCAAGGAAAATATTCTCCCTTTTGAAATATATGTTTTTTTTTAATTTAAACTTAAATCTGGTTACTTATTTTGTAGAAAAAATATTTTTAGTTACCATATGAACAAGTTTTTACAAATATATTTATTTTTTACCCATTACTGTTTAGAATGTTTTTTTGACGTTTACTTAAAATATTCTTCAAAGGAGATGGCCGCTTTTGAAATTAGACGATTCATTTGTGCGATTTATCTAGTCGTTTTTTAAATATCTTAAATATTGTTTGCCCGATTTTGTTTAATTTTGGCAACGTTATTTATACGTTTTGTTAATTTTCTCCAAGAAAATAATAAAAGGTAGTTTTGGAAAAAGGTGCAAAGTATGTGTTTTGTTAGTTTTCATGCAATATTGTGGTTTTTATTTTTTCTGTCGAAATCGAGGTAAGATACGAAAACAACTCAGTCAGTGGCGTACATTTTTTGGGCATAAATATTCGTTAAGATGCCTCCCGGGACGCCAATGGACTTTTTATTTCTATTTTAATCTAGTTAAAGCAAAATTAGCTTATTATTATCAGTATAAATATCGTTACTAAATTTCAACAAAATCGGGCAAACAATATTAAGGATATTTAAAAAACCGTATCTTGAAAACTAAGCATTTCCGGACCTACGTTTGTATGAACTTTTTTTATGACGAATCTCCAGCCGAGCATTGGCGCATGTTTTTTGAAACACCCTGTAATCGTAAATTTGTGCAGCTTGCAGCACTTTTTACTGGAAACCCCATATGTCCCAGCTACCAAATTGTATGTTGGGAACCCTACATTTAATACTTAGTTAATTAGACTTACCTATGCATTGGGGAGGGATAAGGCGCAGGATATGCTAGCCTTTCATCAATACCAACTCTGGGAGAGTCCATGTCTTGGCTAAAGGACGATCTTTCGCTCATACTACTACCAGTGCTGATTCTCCTTTGTCTAGGTATCGAACTTCCGCCTTGCACCGGGCTATCCAAACTGGGAGACGGGTCCGGAATGGGCACTTTTTGCGGCGGCTTTTCTTCATTCTCTTTACCATCAGGTTTAATCTCGCATTTTTTGTTAAGCGGTGGTGGCGCCATTTTTGGTGCACCAAACGCCTTAAACCAAGCACTAAGATTTGGAGTAGCCCCCCCGCCGCCATCATCTTGGTTTATCACCTCTTCTTTGACTGGTTCAATAGGCTTTTTTACCTCCTTTTTCTCCTTTTCTTCTATAGTATTGGAATCTTGTAATACAGGAGGGGTGGTTTCAACCTCTTTTACTTCTACCTTTTCTTCTTCTTTCTTTTGGTCATCCACGAATTTATGCTTGCCAAAACTGTCGAGAACTGAACCAAGACTGAGTTTGGGTGCATTGGTGTTCGTTTTAACAATTAGGGAGTTCTTAGTATCTTTAATTTTTGAGAGAGGACCCAATGGAAACAGTTCATCAACCTTAGGAGCATTTGATATCAAATTTCCCTTACTTTTACCTGGCTGAAGCCTCTCAATAGTTCTTTGTATTTCTCTTCTTTTATTGAATAATTTAGTAGGATCTCTAAAAGGTTTTTTCTTTCCATCCTTGGATATCCCATCTTTTTTAACAACACCTGGGGGTTTGTCTATTTTTCTCTTATTAGGATCCTCAATTTTAGTGGTTAAAGTGTCAAAGTCGTCTAGGCCCGTGTAAGATGGAGAATTACTTGCAGAACTAAATTCTGAAAACTTGGGCGTGTCATCTAACCACTTGTTTATGTCCTTTAAAGTTTGCTCTGTGGCCAATGTTAAAGCCTCAATTTCAATGTTTTTGGACTCATTGGTATTACTGCTTACCGTTGGTGGTAGAGGAATTGTCGACTTCTTTTTTAATGGTTTTTTACTTTCTGAAACTGAGCTATCCATTGTGCTATTTCCGTCATCCAAATCCAAATCTTTTTTGCAGGGTTTCGATTTTTCCTTTACTTTTGGTTTTGATTTGTCATCTTTAGGTTTCTCCTTGGCTTCTTTAGGAAGTTCATCAATAAAATCGTACTCGCTGGTTTTAATTTTATTTGAGATTTCACTTTTGGCTTTAAGCTTTTCTATGGTTTCCCGCAGTTTGTTGTGTTTGTCTTTTGGTTTTGGCGAAAGGGGTACTGGCAAACATGATGAATGTTCTTTTTTAAGTTTTTTATCCACATGTTTTACCGGTTTTTCTTCTTCAAAAAGATGTTTAAATTGTTTTTGTTTTTTTAATTTAGCTAAAAATAAAATTATTTAATTATATGTTAATGAAATACAAAACTTTTAGTACTTACAATTATCTTTATTGTCGTTCATATCTTCAGAGCGTCTTCTTTTTTGAGATTTCTTTGGGGAAATTTCATTTGAAACTGGACTTTCTGGGCTTGATGGTGGCCATGAAGGAGGCGGACTGCTGGTATTACTTCTAGGTAGACTCCTACTCAAACTTCTTCTCCTTATTGGACTTCCTTTTTTCTCTTTCTTGCTTTTTTCCTTTTCCTCCTTTTTCTTTGAAACTTTTAACTTTTTCTCTGTTTCTTTGGTTTCCTTCTTGGTCTTTTTCTCTGGTTTAGCTTCTTTAACATTTTTGTGTTTTGTTTTGCTCTTAGATTCAGTCTCCTTTACAGGACTACTGCTGTCTTTGTCTTTCGAATGTTTTTCTTTGGGTTCTTTTGACAATTTTTTGCTTTCGCTTTTTTCTTTTTTGCTTTCGTTTTTGTCTTTCTTGCTCTCGGTTTTATCTTTCTTGCTCTCGTTTTTATCTTTCTTGCTCTCATTTTTATCTTTCTTGCTTTCGTTTTTATCTTTTTTACTGCCTTTTTTTCCGTGCTTTTTATTTTTATCCTGAGTCTTTTTTGTTTTTGTTGGTTTAAACTCATCTTCTTCGTCGTCATCGAAAGATACATAGGGATCAACTTTGTCACTCATTGAACTCACGGAAACCGACCGCGCTCGTTTCTTGTTTTCTTTTTCAACTTTTTTGGGCGCGGAGTTGTTTTTCTTTGATTTGCTATTCTTGGTGGTTTTCTTGCTTTCCTTTTCTTCGGATTTTTTGGTTTTTAACGGAATTACATCATGCAACGTCTCAAAAGATGAACTTCTGCTTAACATTGAATCTTCAGATAAAGATCTTTCTTTTTTCTTATTTGTTTGCGCCGCAAGCATCGGTTTTCTTTTAGATTTCTTTACCACTTCACTTTCACTATCCACTTTTTTCTTCTTAGAACCCTTGGAATCCGATTCTGTATCAAAATACTCAACAGCTATTTCTTCATCTGATGAGGATATTTGGTCCAAATATTTGTCTGTGGCAGATTCAAAAACTTTTAACAAGTTATCTACCATACCAGTATATTCTAAAATGAAAATAAAAAGGTAAATACATATTTGGATAACGCTTATCAAAAAGGAACCAAGCGCCAAACAGTTTTTCTGGGTTTAGTAAAAATATAACTTTTCTTGAGAGGGTTCCCAAATCATTATTAATTTTTTGAGTAGCATTAAAAATTAGTTATTTTGCAAATAATTTTGTTTACCTCAAAAAAAGTTCCTTTTCGATAAACGCTATCCATTTAAGCTTTTAATACCCCTAAATAATACTGTGAAATTATATGACATTCAGGTTAAAATAAAATTTGAATTATTTGTGTTTTACCTCATCTTATGATGTATTAAAGCAATATACCTGACAATCCACTTTATAAGGCAACTGTCTAAACCCACTAATCAAATAAAAAACTAATATATATTTACCATTTTCAGCACCATTGTACAGTCTACAGTTGTTAACAATTAGTTGAAAATCCGCTTTAAACTTCGAATAAGACTTGTAGAATCCAGAGTCTAACCTTTCTTCCATTTTTTGGAGGTCCATGGGTTTTCTTATAATTGAGTAATAGTTGGGAGCGTATTCTTCCTCAACCGGGTCGGCAAAAGGCCAAGCATCGTCGTGATTTTTAACAAAATCCAAGATTTTATGCATGCCTGTTTGAAGATCTTCATCGGTTTGACGGAAACTAAGAAAAAAATACAACCTCATGATTTATATTTTATTCCAAGTGAACATCGGACCTATGGGAAGCAGGATACATGCAATTAAAAGCCAAAATGTCCAGACAAATATTTATTTCAATATACTATGTATAGGGTATAAGGATTAACATTAAAATATTTCTATAAATAAGGGGGTAAAACTATATCTAAAATTCTACTATGTCTTGGTCACTATGGCAAGTAAACGACGTGATTTTACATAAGGGGGTCTGAAAAAATAATTTTATTTATACATGCAGTTAATCTAAAGATAAATTAGGGATTTGTAAAAATGTACATTTAATAAAATAAAGCTTGTAAAAAATTATGGATAATGTAAAATTAATCACTACTAGTAATGTGCTAAGTGCTGTCAAAAATCAAGACCAAAATTAATTTTCTAATTCTTAAAGCAACAATATTGTCATTCTGGCTCTTAAGAAAATTTTAACGCGCTATGATTGATCAAATTGCATGCTGTGTACAACAAATATATTTATAATTGAAGCATGGACATGTCCATTATAATGTATTGTGGCTTTTCTGCAAACGTAAATTTGAATGCAAAATATTTGTAAAGAGGAAAATTTTGTTTATGAAAATTAGGGTTAACTAAAATACTCATTTAAAAAACTCACTTATTCCTTTTGACATGTTCACACCTCAATGGCAAATACACTGTTTTTCAAATACATGATGATGACTTTAAAAAACGGCTGTTTATAATATATTTGGCTAAAAATTATTGCTTTCTAGTTTTGATATAAAGTTAAAAATTGGTTGATTGATATTCAGGAAACTGGACACACTAGTTTTTACCAGAATACTATTCACTATAAAAATCATACTCCTATACTCACACTTGTGACGTTTTTAACTTTTTCTTGTTTGTTGTAGTTGGAACATTGGACTGTATGACAATTTGCCCTGTAGCGGCCGATAGTGAATTGTTTGTCTGACGTCCTACAGTTGTAGGTTTTGCTGCTGTTTTTGCCGGCATTTCATCATCTTCTTTTACGCCTTTTTTGTTTCTTTTTGAAGTTTTCGCTGGCGACGTGTCTAGAGAGAAGACAAAAACGAACTGAGCAAGAATCTACCTGAATCTAAGGTGGATAGTATTAAGGGGAGTAAATTTAATATTCTATCAACATAAGGTAGTTTATGACACCAAAACTAATACTAGCAACAGGGCTTCCACAGCACTTTTGTTTTGTCGGCCGAAGTGACAGGCTGCTTAATGAAACAGTCCTGAAATATAAATGACTTTTTTCATGGGGAGGACAATATAAAACTCCCAGCAGATATATCTATACCATATGGTGCATGGTTATAAAGGAAAAATAAATTGAAGCGACATTCCATAAAAATGCGGACATGATGAGGAAAATCACAAATAAATGTATATGGAATAGAAGCCTGTGCAACGACTTTACTTTATTTATTTGTTATGCAAATTAAATTTAGGAACTGTCAATTTGGCAAGCGTCATAACTTAAGTAATTATTCCTATATTTTTTAAACAATGCTACTTTTTGTTGTTTATTTTATGTATGAAACACTACAAGGGCCGAAAGTTGAATTTTCGGCCCCGACCGACCTGACCGAGATTTCAATGTTTGGCCCTTGTATAAAAACATTTTTGCATTTTCTTTTAATAATAAATAGTAATTAATATTTCTAGAAGCATCCAGCATCTAGGAATATTATTAAAAAAATATTATATTTTATTTTAATAATAAAAAACTAGATTTATATAGTATCAAATATTTTTCCAAAGCATCTAGCATCTATATTATTGACACTATTTTTACTATAAAGTTTAAAAAACGCACTATGTCCATATATTTTTCTATATTCTTTGATAATATTGCGCGGAACGAACGAAAACCCTCGGCAAACTTGTAGATTTGCTCTGATTTAATTTCAGTTTCATTACAACTATGTAAAGGTGTAGTTTGTTACAAAAAAAATGTTCATTAGGATTTTGTTCACAAAAACAAAATTGTAAATATTTTTTAAAAATGTGGAAAATAAACGACAATATTTTTGTAATAAAAAAGATATTCTCAAATAAAAATAGTAGCCTAAAAAAGAAAATAAATTAAAGCAGGTGTTTAAATGCCGTGCAATAAGTTGATCCATTGTAAAATTTGGACAAACATTTCCCAGCGTATTAGAGCTAATATTCCTTAATGTAATAATTATGAATTGCCTGAATTCATTGAGGTTATTGGTTTGTTCTGTGATTGGCCCTACGATGCTCGTCTGCGACCGATGCTCAACTGCAATTGAAATTGGTCTGCCCGCCAATTAAATTGCCACTTCCTACGATTCATATTGCATCTCTGTTGCATGCGTCTAAACGGACTACCGGACTACCACCACTGTATACCGCCGTTAAAAATACGTAAGCAAAAATGTGTTAACTACAATATTAAGTAATAAAGGTTAATATATTTTTGCTAAGCACAAAAAACGAGATAGGCCTTTACGTATTTTCAACGGTGATATAATGCGAAAGTGTGTTTGCTTTTCAGGCAGCAACAAAGTAACGGATTGACGTATTTTTTTGCATAAGGATAGGAACATAGGCTATTTTTTGACTTTTTTATAATTGTTTCTTACTTCTGTTGCTTTTTTTTTGTGGCTTTTTATTTCCTTAAAGACCGCGTGACGTACGTCATTCGGACGCATTATAAATGTACACATTAAGCTTAATTTTCATGTATCCGTTTGTCCGTCATCCGTATGTCAGTTTTTCAATAAAATCGTCCGATAAGAAATGTTCTAATTTTCATACATCCGTTTTTTAATGACGTTTAACGGATTGATTTTGCGACAAATAGAAATTAAGTGTCAGTATATTCACTTACTAATTTACCTAATGCTTAATGGGGTAGTTAAATTTTTTCTGACCTATACTTTTTATGGTTTTATTCAAGGCGTTTTGTAATATTAAACATTTCTGTGAAATCAGAATTTCAATTAAGTTTACCGTTTTCGAGATATTTACAAAAAATATAAATTTTTATGACGTCACAAACCCCGTCATGTGACCAACATTCTAAGATTTCTATTGGTTGAAAATTACCCTGTTGTCAAGTTGTCTTGTTAATGATTTCATTCGGTTATGTCAGAAAATACCCGAAGAGGTTATGTACAAATACTGTCACTGTCAGTTGAGTGAAAGAAGAAGAAGAAGAGAAGGTTAAAGAAAATTCTGAAATTAAAAGTTTTATTGATAGGTTTACACATTGAAACACCGTGTGAAACATAATAAAATGTAATAAATAGGTACCTAATAACTGTCTAAAGCAGAGTTTAATTTATTTCATAGAAAAAAGTGGCAAAATAAAGCTGAAAATGAATGAAATAAATTTACAAAAAATAATAATATATCTAAAAGAATATAAAGAACTAGGCATTATACCAATGAAATGCATTTACGACAAAATATGATTATAATTATAGGTAAGTACTTACTTTTTTTGTTTAAAAGCTCCAATGTTCAATGTAACCAACCATTCCACAAGATTTCTCTGCTTTGGAGTCCGTTATTAATAAATCACTTATCTAATATCAATTACAAATAACATAACAATAACATTGATTTTCAATAATCTAAATTTAAAAAAAACAACCCGAAAAAAAGAAACGTCAAAAAATCAATTCTTCTTCTCAACTAAAATATTATAACGTGGCGCCATCTATCGTAAACTAAACACACTGGCAACTATAGAAAAAGCTGGCAACGTTGTCAATAGCCTAGTGACGTAATTAGGAGATTTTTTTTTGTAAATATCTCGAAAACGGTAAACTCAATTGAAATTCCGATTTCACAGAAATGTTTAAAATTACAAAACGCCTTGAATAAAACCATAAAAAGTATAGGTCAGAAAAAATTTAACTACCCCATTGTCATAGTTACAATTATTTCAACAATTGTAACTTTAACAGTTAGCTGTCTAATAAATTTAAAGGTAGGTAAATTTACCTTATAAAAAGTATAAAAAATGTATAGTTTAAAAAAAGCAGGTCCTTTTAGTTCTAGTTTTAATTTTTTTTTGTTTGTCCTTTCTTTTTTTCCGTTATTCTTATTAAATAAAAACTTAATAGTAAAACATTATTCACATAACGAACGTAATATTTCCGTTTTACAATCTTATTGAAAAAATATAAAAATATTTAAAAATAAATTATCTTAAAATAAAGTTAGGCGTCAAAAACAGATGTGTAGTGACGGATGAGTTAATAGTTATTTACGATATAAGTGGGATAAGAGCTTTATTAACGTACGCATGCGAAATTTGCCCAACGAGTGCGTAGCACGAGTTGGGCAATCGCAAAAGTACGTTAATAAAGCGTTATCACACGTATATTGTTCAAATTTTTATCTACGCCTCTAAATGAAAAAATAAACGGTAATTATTTTTGTCTAAGACTTAATTTAGGGTTATTTTGACATTTTGACTTTTTTATTTGATTGGTTAAAAACAGAGAAAAACGCATGCGTTAATGAACTTCTTATCTCACTCAAAATGAGTGGGATAAGAAGTTCTTATCTTATATATATATTAGACTGGGCCAAAAAAATTGACTATTTTTTTTTTTGAAAAATATATCGAGAATGTCATTCAGAATGACAAAAAAAATATTTCGTGAAAATTTGAGCCCTTAATATTAATTTTAAGAGGTCTATCATCACTATTTTTTATTTTTAGTCATAATTTGATGTTTTACGTTAGAACTGTCAAAATAATAAAGTGAAAAAAATTCCTTTTCACTTATTTTTATATAAAATTAAATTCTCTACAAAAAAGGTGTGATTGAAAATTTTCGTCAGACGAGCCGTTTCCGAGTAATTGAGCTTAATAAATCGATGTGTTTTTTCGATTTGCCCTTTTTACTTTGAAATTTTGTAACTAATGAATCAATGAATATTTAAAAAAGCTCACATCGGATTCTTAAAGTAAATTTAATGTTCTACAAAAAAGGTCTCTTAACATTTTTGCCTAAATTTAATTTTTCAAAAGTTATTCACGATTAAAATCGAAGAAAAACTTAAAATTTCAATTTTTTCTTCGTGAATAACTTTTGAAGAATTAAATTTAGGCAAAAATGTTCCGAGACCTTTTTTGTAGAACATTAAATTTCCTTTAAGAATCCGACGTGAGCTTTTTTAAATATTCATTGATTCATTAGTTACAAAATTTCAAAGTAAAAAGGGCAAATCGAAAAAACACATCGATTTATTAAGCTCAATTACACGGAAACGGCTCGTCTGGCGAAAATTTTCAATCAGACCTTTTTTGTAGAGAATTTAATTTTTTATAAAAATAAGTGACAAGGAATTTTTTTCACTTTATTGTTTTGACAGTTCCAACGTAAAACATCATATTATGACTAAAAATCAAAAATAGCGATGATAGACCTCTTAAAATTAATATTGAGGGCTCAAATTTTCACGAAATTTTTTTTTTGTCATTCTGAATGACATTCTCGATATATTTTTCAAAAAAAAAAAATAGTCAATTTTTTTGGCCCAGTCTAATATATATATATATATATATATATATATCTATGCCAGTGAGATAAGAACTTCTTATACCACTTATTTTGAGTGAGATAAGAAGTTCATTAACGCACGCGTTTTTCTCTGCTTTTAACCAATCACATAAAAAAGTCAAAAAGTCAAAATGTCAAAATAACCCTAAATTAAGTCTTAGACAAAAATAATTACCGTTTATTTTTTCATTTAGAGGCGTAGATAAAAATTTGTACAATATACGTGTGATAACGCTTTATTAACGTACTTTTGCGATTGCCCAACTCGTGCTACGCACTCGTTGGGCAAATTTCGCATGCGTACGTTAATAAAGCTCTTATCCCACTTATATCGTAAATAACTATTAACTTTCTCTGTCAGACGTACGAAGTTGAAACTTGACGGACCGATAAAATGTCATAATTTTCGAATTATAATTGGACCAATAAGAGCGCTCTCGGATGAACGGACCAACGCACATAGGAGTATTGTCATAAAAAATCCGGACAAAATT